CCGAGGCATTTGAAATGCAAGTTCCCATACTGACCGACCTGGCCAATGCACCACTTTCCATATACATATGCATTAGATTCCTTTCGAACCTTATTAGCTCACTAGATTTATATATTTCCCACCTTCTGATCGAGTGAGACTGCTAGATTCCCTCTACTTTTTGAGAAATGAGCGTTTCCGTTCTCCTTGGCCCTACTTGCACTATAAGTGCGAAATGCCAGCCAGACTGGCCGATGCACCATTTTCTCTACACATGTGCGTTAGTTACCTTTCAAACCCTTACGTTCACTAGATGAATTTATTTCCTACCTTCTATTTGTGTGAGACCACTAGATTCCGTGTACTATGCGAGATCTGAGCGCTTCCGTTCTCCCTGGCATTTGCACTCTAAGTTCCCATACTTACCGACCTGGCCAATGCACCATTTTCCATATACATATGCATTAGATTCCTTTCAAACCTTATTAGCTCACTAGATTTATAAATTTCCCACCTTCTGATCGAGTGAGACCGCTAGATTCCCTCTACTTTTTGAGAAATAAGCATTTCCGTTCTCCTTGGCCCTAGTTGCACTATAAGTGCGAAATGCCGGCCAGACTGGCCGATGCACAACTTTCTCTCCACATGTGCGTTAGTTACCTTTCAAACCTTTTCGTTCACTAGATGAATATATTTCATACTTTGTATTTGAGTGAGACCACTTGATTCCGTGTACTATGCGAGATTTGAGCGCTTCCGTTCTCCCTGGCATTTGCATTTTAAGTTCCGATACTGACCGACCTGGCCAATGCACCATTTTCTCTATACATGTGCGTTCAATACATTCAAACCTTTTTAGCTGACTAGATTTATATATTTCCCACCTTCTGATCGAGTCAGACTGTTAGATTCCCTCTACTTTTTGAGAAACGAGCGTTTCTGTTCTCCCTGGCCCCACCTGTTCTATGAGTGCGAAATCCCGGCCAGACTGGCCGATGCACCATTTTCTCTACACATGTGCGTTATTTACCTTTCAAACCCTTACGTTCACTAGATGAATATATGTCCTACCTTATATTTGAGTGAGACCATTAGATTCCGTGTATTGTGCGAGATTTGAGCGGTTCCGTTCTCCCAGGCATTTGCACTCTAAGTTCCCATACTGACCGACCTGGTCAAGCACCACTTTCCATATACATATGCATTAGATTCCTTCCGAACCTTATTAGCTCACTAGATTTATATATCTCCCACCTTCTGATCGAGTGAGACCGCTAGATTCCCTTTACTTTTTGAGAAATGAGTGTTTCCATTCTCCTTGGCCCTACTTGCACTATAAGTGCGAAATGCCGGCCAGACTGGCCGATGCACCATTTTCTCTATACATGTGCGTTAGTTACCTTTCAAACCCTTATGTTCGCTAGATGAATTTATTTCCTACATTCTATTTGAGTGAGACCACTAGATTCCGTGTACTATGCGAGATCCGAGCGCTTCCGTTCTCCCTGGCATTTGCACTCTAAGTTCCCATACTGACCGACCTGGCCAATGCACCATTTTCCATATACATATACATTAGATTCCTTTCAAACCTTATTAGCTCACTAGATTTATATATTTCCCACCTTCTGATCGAGTGAGACTGCTAGATTCCCTCTACTTTTTGAGAAATGAGCGTTTCCGTTCTCCTTGGCCCTAGTTGCACTATAAGTGCGAAATGCCGGCCAGACTGGCCGATGCACAATTTTCTCTACACATGTGCGTTAGTTACCTTTCAAACCCTTACGTTCACTAGATGAATATATTTCCTACTTTCTATTTGAGTGAGACCACTTGATTCCGTGTACTATGCGAGATCTGAGCGCTTCCGTTCTCCCTGGCATTTGCACTCTAAGTTCCGATACTGACCGACCTGGCCAATGCACCATTTTCTCCATACATGTGCGTTGAATACTATAAAACCTTTTTAGCTAACTAGATTTATATATTTCCCACCTTCTGATCGAGTGAGACCGTTAGATTCCCTCTACTTTTTGAGAAACGAGCGTTTCCGTTCTCCCTGGCCCCACCTGCACTATGAGTGAGAAATGGCGGCCAGACTGGCCGATGCACCATTTTCTCTACACATGTGCGTTAGTTGCCTTTCAAACCCTTACGTTTACTAGATGAATATATTTCCTACCTTATATTTGAGTGAGACCACTAGATTCCGTGTATTGTGCGAGATTTGAGCGGTTCCGTTCTCCCAGGCATTTGCACTCTAAGTTCCCATACTGACCGACCTGGTCAAGCACCACTTTCCATATACATATGCATTAGATTCCTTCCGAAACCTTATTAGCTCACTAGTTTTATATATTTCCCACCTTCTGATCGAGTGAGACTGCTAGATTCCCTCTACTTTTTTAGTAATGAGCGTTTCCGTTCTCCTTGGCCCTACTTGCACTATAAGTGCGAAATGCCGGCCAGACTGGCCGATGCACAATTTTCTCTACACATGTGCGTTAGTTACCTTTCAAACCCTTTCCTACTTTGTATTTGAGTGAGACCACTTGATTCCGTGTACTATGCGAGATCTGAGCGCTTCCGTTCTCCCTGGCATTTGCATTTTAAGTTCCGATACTGACCGACCTGGCCAATGCACCATTTTCTCTATACATTTGCGTTGAATACATTTCAAACCTTTTTAGCTGACTAGATTTATATATTTCCCACCTTCTGATCGAGTGAGACCATTAGATTCCCTCTACTTTTTGAGAAACGAGCGTTTCCGTTCTTCCTGGCCCCACCTGCACTATGAGTGCGAAATGCCGGCCAGACTGGCCGATGCACCATTTTCTCTACACATGTGCGTTAGTTACCTTTCAAACCCTTACGTTCACTAGATGAATTTATTTCCTACCTTATATTTGAGTGAGACCACTAGATTCCGTGTATTATGCGAGATCTGGGCGGTTCCGTTCTCCCAGGCATTTGCACTCTTAGTTCCCATTCAGACCGACGTGGCCAATGCACCACTTTCCATATACATATGCATTAGATTCCTTCCGAACCTTATTAGCTCACTAGATTTATATATTTCCCACCTTCTGATCGAGTGAGACCGCTAGATTCCCTCTACTTTTTGAGAAATGAGTGTTTCCGTTCTCCTTGGCCCTACTTGCACTATAAGTGCGAAATGCCGGCCAGACTGGCCGACGCACCATTTTCTCTACACATGTGCGTTAGTTGCCTTTCAAACCCTTACGTTCACTAGATGAATTTATTTCCTACCTTCTATTTGAGTGAGACCACTAGATTCCGTGTATTATGCGAGATCTGAGCGCTTCCGTTCTCCCTGGCATTTGCACTCTAAGTTCCCATACTGACCGACCTGGCCAATGCACCTTTTTCCATATACATATGCATTAGATTCCTTTCGAACCTTATTAGCTCACTAGATTTATATATTTCCCACCTTCTGATCGAGTGAGACCGCTAGATTCCTTCTACCTTTTGAGAGATGAGCGTTTCCGTTCTCCTTGGCCCTAGTTGCACTATAAGTGCGAAATGCCGGCCAGACTCGCCGATGCACAATTTTCTCTACAATTGTGCGTTAGTTACCTTTCAAACCCTTACGTTCACTAGATGAATATATTTCCTACTTTCTATTTGAGTGAGACCACTTGATTCCGTGTACTATGTGAGATCTGAGCGCTTTCGTTCTCCCTGGCATTTGCATTTTAAGTTCCGATACTGACCGACCTGGCCAATGCCCTTTTTCTCTATACATGTGCGTTGAATACATTTTAAACCTTTTTAGCTGACTAGATTTATATATTTCCCACCTTCTGATCGAGTGAGACCGTTAGATTCCCTCTACTTTTTGAGAAACAAGCGTTTTTCGTTCTCCCTGGCCCCACCTGCACTATGAGTGCGAAATGCCGGCCAGACTGGCCGATGCACCATTTTCTCTACACATGTGTGTTAGTTACCTTTCAAACCCTTACGGTCACTAGATTAATATATTTCCTACCTTCTATTTGAGTGAGACCACTAGATTCCGTGTATTATGCGAGATCTGAGCGGTTCCGTTCTCCCAGGCATTTGCAGTCAAAGTTCCCATACTCACCGACCTGGCCAATGCACCACTTTCCATATACATATGCATTAGATTCCTTCCGAACCTTATTAGCTCACTAGATTTATATATTTCCCACCTTCTGATCGAGTGAGACCGCTAGATTCCCTTTACTTTTTGAGAAATGAGCGTTTCCGTTCTCCTTGGCCCTACTTGCACTATAAGTGCGAAATGCCGGCCAGACTGGCCGATGCACCATTTTCTCTACACATGTGCGTTAGTTACCTTTCAAACCCTTACGTTCACTAGATGAATATATCTCCTACCTTCTATTTGAGTGAGACCACTAGATTCCGTGTACTATGCGAGATCTGAGCGCTTCCGTTCTCCCTAGCATTTGCACTCTAAGTTCCCATACTGACCGACCTGGCCAATGCACCATTTTCCATATAAATATGCATTAGATTCCTTTCAAACCTTATTAGCTCATTAGTTTTATATATTTCCCACCTTCTGATCGAGTGAGACTGCTAGATTCCCTCTACTTTTTTAGTAATGAGCGTTTCCGTTCTCCTTGGCCCTAGTTGCACTATAAGTGCGAAATGCCGGCTAGACTGGTCGATGTGAGAATAAGCGAACAGGAATGGATGAACTAGAAGTGAAAAGAGTACAAGTAGTAAACCCTAGAATTGTGTACCCCCTATAGGCTAACCCACTGTAGCCTACACAAGCATAACATATATAATGTTTGACACACCCCCATAGGCAAAGTGGGGGGAGAACAAGGGGTCACAAGACCAGTCAAGCAAAGCAAAGCAAGCTCAGGGTGGATCACAAAGTCACCACACAGTCCGAGCACAAGAGCAGGGCCAGAGGCCAGCTCACATGCAGGAGTACAGACATATATATAAAACTACACAAGCAAGAGCAGGTATATATATATGTCACAGTACAAGTAAAGTCAAGAGGAGAGCAAGTGAGGCAAGACAGACACAAGACCCAGCTGGGTGCAAAAGCGCTGATGATCACAAGGCGCGAGTGCCTTGATGAACACATCAGCAGTGTTGGCCTCAGAGGCCACGTACGCAAGTCGCAACTGACCACGCTGCTGCAGCTCACGAGCAAGGAAGTAGCGGAGAGCAATGTGCTTCGTTTTGTGCTCCAAGCGCTGCTCTCGACACAAGGCCAGCATGGCCTTGTTGTCTACGTACAGCACTGGAGGAGAACCAGGCGGCTCTCCAAGGTCAGTCAGCAGGTAGGTGAGCCAGCGAAGCTCCTGTGCAGCCATGGCCCCGGCGTAGATCTCAGCCTCACAACTGGAGCCGAGAACCGAAGACGAGCGAGTAGACCGCCACGAGACAGAGCCGGAACCAAGGCTGAAGGTGTAACCCTGTGACGACCGCTGCGTAGCCTGGTCGTCAGCCCAAGAAGCGTCCGCGTGGCCGGTAAGGACCACTGGACTCCGCCCTCCAAGCACAAGCCCCATGCCCGACGTACTGCACAGGTAGCGCAATACCCTCTTCGCTGCAGCCATGTGCTCTGGTCTGTGTCTCCCAGGAGCAACATAGCGTGCAAGAATGCTCAGAGGGTATGCAAGGTCAGGTCGTGTGCAGGTCATCAGGTACATGAGGCAGCCAACAAGCTCTGCATACGGACCACTCGACTCTACGGACTCATCCGAAGGCAGAGCTGAGAGTGAGTGGCGAGTAGGCAGAGGAGTGGCCTGAGGCGAGGAGTACGTGAAGCCGAAGCGCTGAAGGACCTGCTGCACCATGTGTGACTGAGTCAAGGTAATGGTGCGGCGTGCTCTGTCCCGAGTGATCTGCAAGCCAAGGTAGCTGCGCAGTTCACCCAGGTCTGTGCACGTGTGTCTCTTAAGCAGTTCGGACTTCACGTAGGCGAGTCCAGCAGTGTCCGCTGTGGCAAAGACCAAGTCGTCGACGTACACGAGGATGTAGAACGGCGGCAGTGAAGTGTCGGTGCGCAGAAACAGCGACGGGTCAGCAGTAGAAGGAGCAAACCCAAGAGCCGCAAGCGTAGTCCTCAGTGTGTCGTGCCACTCACGCGGTGCCTGGCGGAGACCGTAGACTGGCCGTCGGAGGCTCCACTGGGTGCCAGGAGGGAAAGTCCCAGTGAAGCCAGGTGGACGGCGCAGCCAGATCTCCTCGTGCAGGCTACCCTGCAGGAACGCAGTGCTGAAGTCGAGAGAGTGAAGCTCGTAGTCGCGCTGAGCGGCTATGTGCAGCAGCACCCGAAGAGTGGTCATCTTCGGGGTGGGAGAGAAGGTCTGAAAGTAGTCAACTCCCTGCCGCTGACTGAAGCCACGAGCAACGTACCGTGCCTTGAAGACAGGTGGAGAGCCCGGCGGCCGCTTCACCCGGAAGATCCACATGCCACTGACGATGTTCGCCCCAGGAGGGGGAACCGCGTCAACGTAGGTGCCTGTGGACTTCCAGGAAGCCATCTCTGCATCCATAGCTGCCTGCCACTGAGAGGAGTAGGGACCCTCTACGGCCTCCGCGTAAGAACGCGGAGTCGGGATGTCTAGTGCATCCGGGTCTCCCTCAGGGGCAAGCAGTACAGACGCGAGATGAGGTGAAGCAGCCGCTAGACACTGTAACTCCTCCTGTCTGTCCTCTAGGACGTCCGTGCCAAGAGCACACTCACCCCCGACGGACGGAGGACAGACAGACGCAGACTCAGCAACAAGACCAGCAGCGTAGTCGAGACGACAGCGAGCAGCAAAGTCAACGAGCTCAGCGACTAGAGCAGACGCAGCAGTGGACTCAAAAGAGGGGTCAGTGACGACAGTAGCAAGCAGACGCGTGACAGTAGGACTCGCAGCGCGAAGAGAGTCCGACTCAGGGTCGGCAAGCGCAGGAAGAGAGGACTCAGGAGGAGAAGGCAAAGGGGCACGCAGAGGAGCAGTGGACGGACGCAGAGACATCCGGTGCGTGCCAGGGACAGGAGGAGGACGCTGACGCGAACCGCGACCACTAGCGCGAGCAGCACGAACAGGCGACGCGGGACGAGACGCAGGCTCACGACGCTCAGCAAGACCTCCAGTAGGACCAGTGTAAGGAGAGGGAGCAGGCAGAGGAGAGGAAGGCTCCAACAGTGACTGCGACTGGACAGGCTGTGGACACTCTACCGAAGGAGAAAGACCAAGAACCTGCTGTAGGAGCGGAACGAAGTACGGCCGAGGCCGCGCGGCAGCTCCAGACTCAACAGGGACAGCACCAGCACCCTCAGCGACAGCACCAGCGCCACCAACACCTCCAGCGGCAGGACCTCCAGCAGCACCAGCAGCAGAACCACCGCCAGGACAGACAGCAGTAGTCTCAGCACCAACACCCTCAGCAGCTCCAGCTCCAGTAGGACCCGCAGGCCCAGCAGCTCCGTGACCGGCAGCACCAGCACCCTCGACGGTCGACGAAGCTCCAGCTCCAGCAGCACTCCTCCAGCGGCGAGCAAACCACTCACGCAGCTCCCGTGGAGAGAGGGGCTCCCGGCGAGACGCAGCAGCAGGAGAAACTCCAGGCTCAGCAGCTCCAGACTCAGCACCCCCAGGCACAGCCGCTCCAGACTCAGCACCTCCAGGCTCAGCAGCTCCAGACTCAGCACCTCCAGGCTCAGCAGCTCCAGACGCAGCACCCCCAGGCTCAGCAGCTCCAGCTCTAGTAGGACCCGCAGGCCCAGCAGCTCCGGGACCGGCAGCACCCGCAGCAGGCGAAGAAGCTCCAGCTCCAGCAGCACGCCTCCAGCGGCGAGCAAACCACTCGCGCAGCTCCTGTGAAGAGAGCGGCTCCCGCCGAGACGGAAGAACCGGAGAGCCCCCAGGTCCAGCAGGCGCAGGCTCCGCACCTCCAGGCCCAGCACCCCCAGGCTCAGCAGCTCCTGACGTAGCACCCTCCGGCTCAGCACCCCCCGGCTCAGCACCCCCAGACTCAGCACCCCCCGGCCTCGCACCCCCAGGCTCAGCACCCCCAGGCTCAGCACCCCCAGCAGCAGCACCAGACTCAGCAGCAACCTCGACTGGCTCGACCGTGTCTACCTGGGACACACCCGAAGGGGCAGGAACCTGAGGGGGGAGGGGGTCTACCGGGGGGGGAACTGGTACCAGGAAGTCCGGTGGGGGGGGAAGGGAAGGAGTACGGTAGGGGAAGAGGCGGTAGAAGGGGACTGACTCGTCGAACGTGACGTCCTGGGAGGACAAAACACGACGAGAGGAGGGGTGGTAGAACTGCCACCCTGGAGCGTCAGGGGGGAAGCCAAGGAAGACACAGGGAGCAGCACGGGGGGACAACTTGTCCGCAGACAAGTCGCGGACAAACGCCCGAGATCCCCAGACACAGAACGCAGACGCATCGCCGACCTTCCCCGTCCACAGTAACACTGGGGACATCGCGGGCCGAGAGACCCTGGGGTGAAGGTTGAGCTGATGCGCCGCGTACCGAACCGCAAACGGCCACAGAAAATGGGGGGCAGCCGCATGCATCATGGACGTACGAGCGACATCCATGACCATGCCAATGCGGCGCTCAGCAATCCCATTTTGTTGTGGAGAGTCCGGAAGCGTAAAGGTCTGGCGGATCCCCTGTGCACGACAGTAGTCTCGCAGAAGGCGAGAGGAGAACTCCCCACCTCGGTCAGAGTGCAGACGCAGAACAGGAAAGTCCGAGCCGAAGCTCCTCCTGAGCTGGAGACGAGCCTCGCGGATCCAGTCGATCAGCACCTCAGTGACAGCACCCTTGCTGCGCAAGGGGAAGACTGAGGTGTAACGCGAGTAGTCGTCAACCACCAACAGGAAGTAGCGCTCGTGACCCTGCCCACGGACGGGGGCCGGGCCCCACACGTCCATGTGAAGCGTCTGCAGAGGAGCCTCTGTCGGGGGAGACTGGGAGGAGTGAGGAGAAGCCCTGAGGCGCCCCTCGACACAGGGGACACAGGAAGGTCCTGGTCTCGAAGGAAGGGGAGGGAGAGACTGGGGAAGACCAGAGACAAGGACACGGGAAGCCATGCCCCGAAGACGGGGCAAGGAGGGGTGGCCTAGACGGTGGTGCCACAGAAGAGTCTCGTGAGACAGGAGGCGACACGAACAGGGGGCAGACTCAGGACCAGACCTGGACGCTGCAGCAAACACCTGACCCGACGCTGCTACCTGACCGGACGCGGGGACAGGAGGAGACTCAGTGGTCAGGGTGTAGAGGCTCGACCCCGGCCGACGCGAGAACGTGGCCAGGTGCCGGCCTGTGCGTGCGTCCGTGCAGTGGGTCACCCGCTGACTCGCAGGAGTGAACTGGTGAACCCCCGCATCCTGTAGGTCTGCACCACTCACCAAGTTCGTCGAGAACGAGGGGAGGTACAGGCCAGACAGGGTGCCCGAGGGGGCAGCCGGACACGGGAGGACAGTGGAGAAGTGAGCGAGGACAGGACCCCCAGAGGGGTCAGCAAGGGAGACTACAACCGGCCGACCAAGCGGCGTGAGTGTGGTGCGGTCCCGAAAGAAGGAGCGAGAAGCCCCAGAGTCAAGTGTAAAGGTGAGGGAGGCCGAAGCCAACGCGGTACCTGAGAGCGCAGCCTCACCCGCACCTGAGGAAGCAGACTCACTAGCACCTAGAGCAGCAGCCGCACCTGTACCTGGAGCAGGAGACTCACTAGCACCCAGAGCAGCAGCCTCACCAGTAGCTAGAGCAGCAGGTCCTATACCTGGGTCAGGCGGGCCGCACAGGTGACCGGCACGATCAGCACTAGTAGGCAATGCATACATGGCAGTGAGAATAGCATCATAGTCAAGAGCATATATATCTACCCTCTGCCTAAGCAACTCCACCCAGTCGGGAAGCTCAGCCCCGTCGCCAAACACGGTACGCCAGGCGTCGCTCAGACGGGCGAAGCAGCGGGACGGTGTATGACTACGTGTCCCACAAGGCTGACCAGTCCGAGTACCAGTGCGAATCACGTAAGAGCAGCGAACAGCACTGAGAGACCCTCCACTCTGAGCGTACCACTCACGAAGCTGGCGAGGCGTGAGAGACACGCGAGAGGGTCGCGGGAGCTGCATCTGGCCGCCACCACGAGTAGAAGCAGCAGGAGTGGTAGTAGGAGTAGCGTCGCAACCCCTACAGCCCCAACCAGCGTACCACTCACGCAGCTGCTGGGGCGCGAGGGACTCACGCCGGCGTCGCTGGGGCTGCATTTGGCTCCGCAAGTAGAAGCAGGAGCAGGACTAGCAGCAGGGAGGCAGGCAGCCAGGCAAGCCAAAAGGCAGGCAGGCAGGCAGGCGACGCGCAGCGTGCTAGCAGGGCAAGAGCTCACCAGTGGTGGGAAGAGTAGGCTTGGTGACTCAGCGGCTCGGCAGCTCGGCGGCTCGGCGGCTCGGGCGACTCGGGCGGCTCGGCGGCAAGGCGGCTCGGCAGCAACTGCAGCTCAGCAGCTCGGTGACTCGGCGGCTCGGCGGCAGGGCGGCTCGGCAACAACTGCAGCTCAGCAGCTCAGCGACCCGGCGGCTCGGCGGCAGGGCGGCTCGGCTGCTGGGCGGCTCGGGAGCAGGGCGGCTCGGCGGTGGGGCGGCTCGGCTGCTGCAGGTGAGCGGCTCGGCTGCTGCACTGGGAGATGAAGGAGGAGGAGAAGCAGGGGAGGCCACACACCTGCCACCCCTCTGCTGGCCTCTCGAAGGGACGGCGGGGCCGTCACGAAGGGACGGCGGGGCCGTCAAGAGGTGACCGGGCCGCGACGGGGGCAGGCGGCAGGGCCACGTAAGGGCCTGGGCGGGGCCGCGACAGAGCCGTCGGCGGGGCCGCGTGAAAGCCGGGGCGGGGCCGCGTAGAAGCCGGGGCGGGGCCGCGCGAAAGCAGGCGGCGGGGCCGCGAAGGAGCCGGGGCGGGGCCGCGTGAGAGCAGGCGGCGGGGCCGCGTAAGGGCCTGGGCGGGGCCGCGACAAAGCTGTCGGCAGGGCCGCGTGAAAGCCGGGGCGGGGCCGCGTAGAAGCCGGGGCGGGGCCGCGCGAGAGCAAGCGGCGGGGCCGCGAAGGAGCCGGGGCGGGGCCGCGTAAGAGCAGGCGGCGGGGCCGCGTAAAAGCCGGGGCGGGGCCGCGACAGAGCCTGCTGCGGGGCCGCGTGAGAGCCGGTGACGGGGCCGCGTAAGGGCCGGCGGCGGGGCCCCGTCAGAGAGGGCGGCGGGGCCGCGTCAGTGAAGGCGGCGGGGCCGCAGGGGAAATGGCGACCCGAGGGGTCGCTAAAAAAAAAGATCGCGCCTCGGGGGGCGCTTCGGTGGGCCCAAAAAAAAAACGGTCCGTAGAAGGACCCGCTCTATACCATGTGAGAATAAGCGAACAGGAATGGATGAACTAGAAGTGAAAAGAGTACAAGTAGTAAACCCTAGAATTGTGTACCCCCTATAGGCTAACCCACTGTAGCCTACACAAGCATAACATATATAATGTTTGACAAATGCACCATTTTCTCTATACATGTGCGTTGAATACATTTCAAACCTTTTTAGCTGACTAGAATTATATATTTCCCACCTTCTGATCGAGTGAGACCGTTAGATTCCCTCTAATTTTTTAGAATCGAGCGTTTCCGTTCTCCCTGGCCCCACCTGCACTATGAGTGCGAAATGCCGGCCAGACTGGCCGATGCACCATTTTCTCTACACATGTGCGTTAGTTACCTTTCAAACCCTTACGTTCACTAGATGAATTTATTTCCTACCTTCTATGTGAGTGAGACCACTAGATTCCGTGTACTATGCGAGATCTGAGCGCTTCTGTTCTCCCTGGCATTTGCACTCTAAGTTCCCATACTGACCGACCTGGCCAATGCACCATTTTCCATATACATATGCATTAGATTCCTTTCGAACCTTATTAGCTCACTAGATTTATATATTTCCCACCTTCTGATTGAATAAGACCGCTAGATTCCCTCTACTTTTTGAGAAATGAGCGTTTCCGTTCTCCTTGGCCCTAGTTGCACTATAAGTGCGAAATGCCGGCCAGACTGGCCGATGCACAATTTTCTCTACACATGTGCGTTAGTTACCTTTCAAACCCTTACGTTCACTAGATGAATATATTTCCTACTTTCTTTTTGAGTGAGACCACTAGATTCCGTGTACTATGGGAGATCTGAGCGCTTCCGTTCTCCCTGGCATTTGCATTTTAAGTTCCGATACTGACCGACCTGGCCAATGCACCATTTTCTCTATACATGTGCGTTGAATACATTTCAAACCTTTTTAGCTGACTAGATTTAGATATTTCCCACCGTCTGATCGAGTGAGACCGTTAGATTCCCTCTACTTTTTGAGAAACGAGCGTTTCCGTTCTCCCTGGCCCCACCTGCACTATGAGTGCGAAATGCCGACCAGACTGGCCGATGCACCATTTTCTCTACACATGTGCGTTAGTCACCTTTCAAACCCTTACGTTCACTAGATGAATTTATTTCCTACCTTCTACTTGAGTGAGACCACTAGATTCCGCGTACTATGCCAAATCTGAGCGCTTCCGTTCTCCCTGGCATTTGCATTTTAAGTTCCGATACTGACCGACCTGTCCAATGCACCATTTTCTCTATACATGTGCGTTGAATACATTTCAAACCTTTTTAGCTGACTAGATTTATATATTTCCCACCTTCTGATCGAGTGAGACCGTTAGATTCCCTCTACTTTTTGAGAAACGAGCCTTTCCGTTCTCCCAGGCCCCAGCTGCACTATGAGTGCGAAATGCCGACCAGACTGGCCGATGCACCATTTTCTCTACACATGTGCGTTAGTTACCGTTCAAACCCTTACGTTCACTAGATGAATTTATTTCCTACCTTCTATTTGAGTGAGACCACTAGATTCCGTGTATTATGCGAGATCTCAGCGGTTCCGTTCTTCCAGGCATTTGCACTCTAAGTTCCCATACTGACCGACCTGGCCAATGCACCACTTTCCATATACATATACATTAGATTCCTTCCAAACCTTATTAGCTCACTAGATTTATATATTTTTCACCTTCTGATTGAGTGAGACCGCTAGATTTCCTTTACTTTTTGAGAAATGGGCGTTTCCGTTCTCCCTGGCCCCACCTGCACTATAAGTGCGAAATGCCGGCCAGACTCGCCGATGCACCATTTTCTCTACACATGTGCGTTAGTTACCTTTCAAACCCCTACGTTCACTAGATGAATTTTTTTCCTACCTTATATTTGAGTGAGACCACTAGATTCCGTGTACTATGCGAGATCTGAGCGCTTCCGTTCTCCCAGGCATTTGCACTCTAAGTTCCCATACTGACCGACCTGGCCAATGCACCACTTTCTATATACATATGCATTATATTCCTTCCGAACCTTATTAGCTCTCTAGATTTATATATTTCCCACCTTCTGATCAAGAGAGACCGCTAGATTCTCTCTACTTTTTGAGAAATGAGCGTTTCCGTTCTCCTTGGCCCTATTTGCACTTTAAGTGCGAAATGCCGGCCAGACTGGTTGATGCACCATTTTCTCTACACATGTGCGTTAGTTACCTTTCAAACCCTTACGTTCACTAGATGAATTTATTTCCTACCTTCTATTTGCGTGAGACCACTAGATTCCGTGTACTATGCGAGATCTGAGCGCTTCCGTTCTCCCTGGCATTTGCACTCTAAGTTCTCATACTGACCGACCTGGCCAATGCACCATTTTCCATATACATATGCATTAGATTCCTTTCGAAACCTTATTAGCTCACTAGATTTATATATTTCCCACCTTCTGATCGAGTGAGACCGCTAGATTCCCTCTACTTTATGAGAAATGAGCGTTTCCGTTCTCCTTGGCCCTACTTGCACTATAAGTGCGAAATGCCGGCCAGACTGGCCGATGCACCATTTTCTCTACACATGTGCGTTAGTTACCTTTCAAACCCTTACGTTCACTAGATGAATTTATTTCCTACCTTCTATTTGAGTGAGACCACTAGATTCTATGTACTATGCGAGATCTGAGCGGTTCCGTTCTCCCTGACATTTGCACTCTAAGTTCCCATACTGACCGACCTGGCCAATGCACCATTTTCCATATACATATGCATTAGATTCCTTTCGAACCTTATTAGCTCACTAGATTTATATATTTTCCACCTTCTGATCGAGTGAGACCGCTAGATTTCCTCTACTTTTTAAGAAATGAGCGTTTCCGTTCTCCTTGGCCCTAGTTGCACTATAAGTGCGAAATGCCGGCCAGACTGGCCGATGCACAATTTTCTCTACACATGTGCGTTAGTTACCTTTCAAACCCTTACGTTCACTAGATGAATATATTTCCTACTTTCTATTTGAGTGAGACCACTTGATTCCGTGTACTATGCGAGATCTGAGCGCTTCCGTTCTCCCTGGCATTTGCATTTTAAGTTCTGATACCGACCGACCTGGCCAATACACCATTTTTTCTATACATGTGCGTTGAATACATTTCAAACCTTTTTAGCTAACTAGATGTATATATTTCCCACCTTCTGATCGAGTGAGACCGTTAGATTCCCTCTACTTTTTGAGAAACGAGCGTTTCCGTTCTCCCTGGCCCCACCTGCACTATGAGTGCGAAATGCCGACCAGACTGGCCGATGCACCATTTTCTCTACACATGTGCGTTAGTTACCTTTCAAACCCTTACGTTCACTAGATGAATATATTTCCTACCTTCTATTCGAGTGAGACCACTAGATTCCGTGTATTATGCGAGATCTCAGCGGTTCCGTTCTTCCAGGCATTTGCACTCTAAGTTCCCATACTGACCGACCTGGCCAATGCACCACTTTCCATATACACATGCATTAGATTCCTTCCAAACCTTATTAGCTCACTAGATTTATATATTTTTCACCTTCTGATTGAGTGAGACCGCTAGATTTCCTTTACTTTTTGAGAAATGGGTGTTTCCGTTCTCCCTGGCCCCACCTGCACTATAAGTGCGAAATGCCGGCCAGACTCGCCGATGCACCATTTTCTCTACACATGTGCGTTAGTTACCTTTCAAACCCTTACGTTCACTAGATGAATTTATTTCCTACCTTATATTTGAGTGAGACCACTAGATTCGGTGTACTATGCGAGATCTGAGCGCTTCCGTTCTCCCAGGCATTTGCACTCTAAGTTCCCATACTGACCGACCTGGCCAATGCACCACCTTCCATATACATATGCCTTAGATTCCTT